TGCATATATATACGTTGCTATGTAAATATGGCCGGTGTGTATTTATGAATAGTAAATTTTTTATTTCACTTTTAATATTTTCATGTAACGAGTTTTTTTTCTTCGGCAACTAGTTTTTTAATCAAATAAATGTAAAATAAAGATTTGAATACATTATAACTAATGTACCGTACATGTTTTAAAATAAATTAAATTTTTAAGAGTATAACAAAAAATACTAAATGTATAGAAAAAAAATTAAAATCTATTATGAAATGAATAAAGAAATCCCAGCAATATTTCTCATAAAATGTCTAGGTATTGTCCTTAAAGTGTTCATAAGCACATATTACTTAGATAACGTTAATATGTATCTGATGCACGTAATATTTATATAAGTATACACGTGCATCTAACTACATATTTAATTTATATTATTCATGAAAAGCTGTCTCTTATACTCTACTATACCCTTTATATTAAATGAATAAAAACCAAGATTTTGAAAAAAAAATCCTCATAAAAAATAAGAGAAAAAAAAACTTTTCTATGTTTGTTTAAAATATAAGAAGAAAATTTTGAATAAAATCCAGAGATTATAAGAAAAATGTTATTAAATTTACAGCATTCAATGTAAAATGTGTTTATAGAGTGAAGTATAAAAACTTTTATTAAATATTCTGTTTTTGTTTCTAAATAAATGAAAATTTTTAAAATAAAAGAACCCATTGAATAGTTTTCTGAAAAATGTTACTAACTGCTGTTCGGGATCAAGTAATATAATTACATTTTACATTTACTTTACTGGAATTTTATTATTTTAAGAGAGAAATTTTAAGAAAATACTTTGAAAGGACTATAAATATCGCCAATATGTGATTTGTGCAGCTCTGAATTTTATCTCAGCTGTGTTTGCAATTAAATTCAGCTTTTGTAATTTTGTGAAGAAAATATTGTTAATTTCAAATATTTCCTACCAAATACAAAATGTGAACTCTTACATGCTAAATTAACCATTAAAATTTATAAAGAAGATTAACCTATTAATTAACAGTAATCAGAGAATTAGTTAAAATACAACGGGTTTTTCTTGAAAACGCGCTTAAATTTTTAAGGCTCACAGCTCCCATTTTCCAGTTTTCCTTCTATTCTATTTCATTTGTTAATTTTTTTCTAATTTGCTTCGAAAAAAGAGGGCATATTTCATTCCAACTTTAATTATAAAAACATTTAGTTTCCCTTTTTTTAAAATAATTCGAACTAAATGGATTAAATACCCCTAGCACTTTAAAGTTTCCTATTCATCATACTTGTGTCAACCCTCATACCTAAAAAAGTAAGTTTAAATCTTTCGTATTGAATCGGAAGGAAACAAATTTTTAACAAACTTTCTTTTTGATTTAATTAAAAACATCCCAACTTTATACTGCAGTGGTATAACACATAAAGTATATCTGTTTAATTATATATGTACGTATATCGCATATATATAAACCAGTCATAGTATAATATTCCAAAAATAGTAGAAAATTTTTGTAATAAAATTATAAATGTAGATACATAGCTAAATGGAAAATGAAGTTGACGAGAAATTTTTTCTTTAATTTTCACATTAAATTTGTAAATTTTAATTATTATGAGATACAAAAAAAAAACTTTTTTTTTTTTGTTGGGATAAAAAATAATAATTATTTTCTTAATTACACTCATAAATGTACTTTAAAACTTTTTACATTAATAAAACTGATTATGTTTTATTTTAAAATAAATTTAAAATATTCATTAATCCAAAATTAAACCAAAATTACCCTTAAATATTTAATTAGTACTATAATAATCAAAGTTATTTATTAATAGAAAAAGTATTAGAACTTTTTATGAAAGCAAAGATCCTTTCAATATAAAAAAATTTCTATAGAAGAGAGAGCATAATCGCTTTAAATCTATGTAATTCTTATTTCTCAGAAAAATAATTTAAATTTTATTTTTTAATCGACCTATCAAATTTGATTAACTTTGTATTTGATATTTAATGGCTTAAATTTTACGGGTTTAATATCGTTGAAAAACTGAACCGAACATACAAACCGAACCGAACAAATCGTATTTTCAAAGAAAAAAATTTAAAAAAAAGCACATATAACAAGCATATATATATATATTAGCAATTGTTGCTACTATTGTGAATAATTTAATATTATATAAAATATTATGGCATTAAATGAAAAATAAAAGTTTAACAGAGAAAAAATCAGTGAAAACAGAAAATTATGGTACTAATGCAACTAAAGTTCAAGTAAAAATATTTAAGAACTTGGATAAGGTGCTTATCACACCAAAAATCACATGTTTAATTTAAAATTTAAGAAATGTGCTTTTCCGTGTTAGTAAAATACTGTCGATCTGTCGCCCAAATTAATCGGTTTTAAAGTAAATTTTATATAACAAGATTCTTTTGTGAATGAAGGAAATCTTTTAACAACATTTGAGCTTCTTTAGTTTACAACATTGAAAATAATTTGTTAGGAATTATTTTTATAGTAAATATAAATTAAGTTTTTCATTGCACATTTTTATACCCGTACGAAAGTATGTTCCAAATTTTCACAAATGATTTATTGTAGTAAGTTCCAGAACCCTATTTAAAATGGACATGATCGGGGTACAGGTTCGGGTAGCTGCCATACAACTTCAAAATTTATTTGGCTATATCTCAGAAACTATAAAAGCTGCGATATTAAAATTTCACACAAACGAATATATTAGTAGAGCCAATGCGTTTGATAAAAATCGTTTAAATTGCTTGGCTCCTTCGGGTACCTGCCATACAATTTCAAAAGTTATTTGGCTATATCTCAGAAACTATAAAAGCTGTAATAGTGAAATTTTACACAAGCAAATATACTAGTTGGGCCGGTGTGCTTGATAAAATTCGTTAAATTTTCTTCTAAAAAATAATTTATAAATTATAAATTTGGCTCTTTCTGGTAGCTACCATACAACTTTAATAGTAGCCTGATAAGGTCAGAACTATTTTGTTCTCGTTCTAATTAAAATGAAATATGTGTGACTCATATGACAATAGTAAACATGTTCTATTATACTCATGGTCAAATTTAAATTGTAATAAACAATTATTCCATTGATTTTTAATTTTGAAATGTTTTAATTTTAATCCAACGTACGTGAATTGTCAACTTTTATTTGCCAGGAGGATTTAAAGGGGGGAACTTATTTTGTAACTATTCACGTATTTTGATCTGGCAATACCAAAACAGGAGTTTAGTTAAGCGGGTTGCTCAATTAAATGAGGTGCAATTAAACGTTGAAAGATATCTATATTTAATTAGAAATAGAAATTTGTCTCAGTAAGTTTTTCGTTCAATTCAAGAGAAGCTGGGGAGAACTTTATATAATAACAATTAAGTAATTTTGAACCTTAATATAAAATTCCGCGGATAAAAAACACAAATTTTTAATACTATATTTAAAATAGATCTTTAAGATTAATAAATTAGTTTAAAATGAGCTATAAACCAACAAAAAATTAAATTAATTAAAAAGATTCCAGATAAAAATTTAAATTTCTTTTATTACCAAATTTAATTTAATGAATTTTTTATTATGATTAATAAATTTTATAGAATGAAATTTCTGATTTTATTAAATTTAAGTGTTAATTAACAAAAAACAAATAAAACCAAAAAAATATTATTCATCAGCATGTTGGCTAACGAGAAAAAAATAATAATAAGAAAACGAAAGCGTGCCAAAGGATATTGTCATCACAAATCGAAAACCATCTGCTTAATACCCTGAAATCTTGGAAATATTTTAACTTAAATTTTTAAAATCTACGATTTTTCCTCCTAAGATTCTTTTATTATTTGTAAAAATTTCATTTTTTAATAAAACTAAAATGAGTTTTCTTCCCTATTTTTTATAGTTTTGCAATAACGTACACTAAAAAAAAAATTTTTTATTTAATATTTTCAGCTTACTTCAGAATATGTAAAAAAAAGAAAGGAATTTATGAATTTTTATTAGAAATTTTTCCTTTTTTTAAATTTATTCCTAGATTTTATTAAATAAAACATAATATTAAATTATAACTATCACAAAATTGCAATTTGATCTTGCTCAATTCTTTTTTTTTCTCAGTGAATTTTTTTTTTACTTAGCAATTCACTCTTTTGTTTTGTTAGAGAACTGCACATTTTCTCCTTTTTTTTTTATTCTTAAATGCCATTTTTATTTTTGTGAATCCCATAAATTCGAATATTTTATTAAAATTATGCTTTTTTGATCCTTTTTTTTTACTGAATTGCATTTTTTCACCCCTTTAGCAATTTCAAACTACTAAAATTAATTTTTTTTTGCTTCTGCTTCTAACTGTAATTTTTTTAGTAATTTTATTTTATAAAATTTTAAAAATTATTGTAAATTTGTTGCCTTTAGCTTTTAAAGTAAAAAAATGTTCATTACTTTTTTTTTGATTTTTTACTATTAAATGGTTAACATGTAGTTTAAATTAACAATAATTTTTACTAGTTCATGGAAACAAAAAAAAATGGAAGAACACATTAACATTGGCTTTTGTTTGTATTTTGTAGATTAAATTTTTTTCACATTTTGCTTTAAATGTATAGAAATTTTTAAATGAAGCAAAAAACAAACATAAATGTAAAATAAATAATTAAATAAATAATTAAAAAATTAAACAACACAAACGAAAATTGAGAAAAAACACTATAGAAAATGCTTTTCTCTCTAAAATTATTCACACTTATGCACGTATTAAACATAAATTTAAAATATTAATCATTAATATATACATTTAACTTTACAATTATAAGTATAAGCACATATACATTTATGTGACAAAATATGTCTTGAGCACATACATACATACAAACATAATTAATTTTTCTATATTTTTTTTTTATTTTTTTTGTCCGTTTCTCTTTTCTTCTTTTTTTTTACCTTTGTTTTTTTTTTTTTAATATGAATACTTTTTTTAGCACTTCCATTATCTACAAGAAGAACCATCAGTTACTATAGCGGAACGTTGCACTAGAAGTCGTATAAATTCAGCAATTTTTGTATCATCAGAAGGTCGTGGCTTTGATTCAATTGAATTTTTACGACGATACGGTTCACAGAGTGTTTTATGCCGAAAAGCTAGAAGCGCGGAAAATATTAGTAATGAAAATCGAACGGTAAGTATATGTTATATAGCTATTTTTAATATTTATAATGAAAATTATTATGATTATTATACGTTAATAGAAAATTTAATATATGAATTTTATTATATTATAGTAGTATTTCTAAGAAACTAATTATTATCAAGTAAATTGCATATATTATATTTAATTAAATAAATATGGTAAATTGAATAAAGCTATTCGATATTATAATATTAGAATCGTATTATACTTTAGATATCTATATATGGATCATATAATATACTTTAGTTAATATACAACATCTTCTCTATATATACATGCATAACATAAATTTTTATTGCGCACATATTAAATTAGATTAACTTAGATATAGATAATTAAGATAGCAGTAAATAGAATATTTTATAAATTAATTACGATTTAAAATCATTTTTGTAAAAGCATGAACTATTTTTGGCTTCATGAAGCTTAGTTTTCTAAAATAATCTTACATTTCTAAAATTATATTCTTTCGATATTCTTGTCATCATCTTGTAAATCATTCCCGCGATTTATACTATTTAAAGCGATAAAACCTTGTTTTTTCATTTACGAGTCTTTTTCTCTTAAACTCCAAAATAGAGAGAGTATATGAAAAAGGGAGAAAGAGTTTAAATAAAATGAAGTGTATGAAATAAAGCGTGAATATTTTAGAACACGTTGAATAGTGTAAATCGTCGGATTCAGTTCGAATATAAAAATTAAACTATTGCATTAATTTGATAACTTACCTCCAGGCTTTGCTTCTTGCTCGACATTTTAGCCTGTCAATTCCTTTATATTCAAATTAAAATTTTGCTTTTATATTTGAATCTTTTCCTTACCTAAAATTCTTTTGTATTTAATATTTTACTTTTATTTTTTCTAAATTCTGTATAATTTCTATTTAAAAGTTTCTTTAATTTTTATTAAAAAACAACTGCTTTAAAGAATTTTTTTTTTGGGCTCCACATTTTTAAATTTAACACTAAATTTAAACGTATTTTTTGTAAATTATATTTTTTTTAATTTTAATAAATAAAATTTAATTAAAATTCATATTTTTTGATTTTACGAATAAATTAAGAAAAAAAAAAGGTTTTAATAATCTTCCTCTTGCACTTACAAAAAACTGGAAAATTTACACTACATGCATTTAAGTGTTTCACAAAATTCATTCAACCACATACATAAATAGGAATAAATTAAAATTGTATAAGTATATCTTGTGCATATTTTAGTATTTATTTATTTAGTATGGAAATTTTTTAAAAACAACCAAGTAACAAATGAAATTTTTGTTGGCTTAACAGTGTCCATTATATTTTAATGCTCTCTGTCCCTGTTAATTAAGATTTCTTTCTTTATATATCTATAATAAATTAATTTATATACATCCGTACATTTTAAATGTTTCAAGTAATAATACTGTCTATTCCAAATTTTATTGTTCTAATTTTGCAGGAAATTCAAATGTCTTCAGAGTTTTAATATACTTTCAATAAAATTTGGTTGACCTACCACCTTACTTCTGAAAAAATATGAAATAAATTGTATTTTTTATTAAAATTATTGCACAAACTCTTTAGGTATAGCTATTTTTGTTCAAGTAATTTTCTTCTTATATGAATAATATAAAACCGATGTGAACAGCACATACCCAACAAACCGTCTTCGTATATTGTATATTTTGTGATTAATACAAATTTCAATGAATCGGTTTTTATTACTGCCGAAAATGTCGCACAAGATTATAAAAATTCACTTCAAAAAAGAAAATTTCAAATTCTATTAAAACCAGTAAACTTTAATAGTTTAGTTCTGAAATAGAGGTTGATTTACTTTTTGGAGTTGGATTTCTCCAAAAGTTTTACAAACACTTCTACAATTTAACGAGTTCTTAAAATATGATTTAAAATTTAAAATCGGCTCCTAGTGTAAGTACGATACTTTTCGAGCCTTGGTTCACAACCACAATTGAAATAATCAATAACAAAGAAATAGAGAACGGTATCCAGCTAAAACATCACTATTTAAATTTCTTTATCGCAAAAATGAATTTCCGTCGAAAACTCCTCGAGTAAAATTTGGAAACTTCCTCTTGTGAAATGCAATGTCAGCAAAAGGAATATATTTAAAATTTAATTAACCAAAATAAACAACTCATTTTATATACACAAAATTTTAATATTCATAAAAACTTTTGTTTAGTTTGATAAATTATTAAAACAATATTTATGTGAAGCGGAATGATATATTTTCTTTTTCCACCTCAATAAATTTGTGCATACAAAAGGTATACTACGAAACTATTTCTTATTCATAAAACAAATTTATTCAAGAAACAAGTCAAAAAAAAATTTAACAAAAAAAAAATCTGATGTGGTCAGCACATAACCGACCGCATTGTATATTGCCTAGTTAAGTGAAAGGGTTACAGAATATTATAAAAATGTCTTTTAAATACTTCTTTCCAATTTTTAGGACATTAGTAAGCTTATAGTTAACATACCTAGAAAAATGTAAATTTGGCTCTTAGTAGAGTTTCGCTTTGTGCTATCCGAATTCCCTGAAATGCTCGCCAGTTAGTTTCGGTAACAACTAGAACTCAAATATCAAATTTCAAGAAATTCCATCAATTCGTTCCGTAGATATGGTGAAAATGTAAAATCGGCCCGCAGATCAGTGTTCGAGCCCTGATCTTTCCAAAAAATTTACATGTTCATTGTTTTAATACGAGGAATTCAAATATTAAATTTCAATGAAATCGGTCAATTATTTCCCTTTATATACACAAAAATGTATATTTGGCCCGTAGTAAACGTCCAGTTGCTGGTGCCTGATTTCTTCCAAAAGTTAGGAATTTTTGCGGACGGTCGAGAAAAGCTTATATATGAAATTTCAAGTAAATCGGTTGAATATTTTCTTCAAAATGTTCAAAAATGTAAAACAGGCCCGCTAAAAAGTGCAGTTCCCGAGGCCTGATATATCCCAAAAGTTGATCAATCCGTGCCATGGTGGAAACAAACTTACATATAAAATTTCATCAAAATCGGTTCAGTAGAACTTGAGATACACGCATGCACACACAGACCGACAGACCGATAGACCAACAGACCGACAGACCGACAGACCGACGGACCGACAGGTTGCTAAAAATAGTTTATTTACACTTCCCTACTATGGAGAAGTGCATTCCCACCGAAAACTCGATATGCAAAATTTGTTGCCATCACATAACCTACCTATTGTTTACACAATACGGTCGGTAAAAATTTATGAATGAAATTTTCCAAATTGTTGCAAATAAACAATGTGTAAAAAAACATTTTCTTAAAAGTAAAAGGATGACATTTTGTAAAGAAAAATAAAGTATACATATACATATACAATAAAATTTGGATATGTTTTTGTACATCGTAGATAAATTCTCATAAAAATACATCTTACATCCAGATACACATAATCATTATGTAGGGAAGTAAACACACAAAATATGCATATGCTTAGTTAAAAATTTTTGTTTTTGAGTTTTCGAGTAAAATTTTGCCCATTTTGTTAAATAAGTTCGAGGACTTTATATCATAAATTTTTGATATTTCAAACATATGTAACCTTGTTTACATTTCATTATTACAAATTGAAAATGCGTCATATACTCGTACAAGTATTTTTTTTTAAGAAAAAAAATTATTAATTTTAAGTTTGACATTGCATAAAAAACTTCAAAAATATATGTTGTATGTCAAGTATTTTTTTACAAATTAATTCATGAACCAAAGCTGCGAAACTCATCAAAATCTTAATTTTGATATATATTTTATATGATCGCTTTTGAATTTTACTCCGCTCTCAATAAATTCGCGTTGCATATTTATTAAAATTTTTTCCTACATGTTTTATAGGGGAACCATTGTTATTAATTGCAATTTTTCTCCAAACTTTTAGCGGCAGTCTAGGAAACCAAATTAAAAAATTGCATCAAACAAATAAGTTCAAAATGGTTCTTTGGACTTAACCTTTAAAATCAAATAGTGGAACCGTTAATTTACGAGTTAATGAATTTGTCAAAAACACAATTTTCCATCAAGTTCCTTTAAGTTTAATGTTAGAAATTTTCTTAAATATCTCGATTTTCCAAAAAAAAAGGAAAAATTTTTATTAATTTTACCACCTATGCTTTAATATGGACTTGTATCTTTAATATCAAAATCTTTCAAAATTCTTATATTTTAAAAACTAAATACTTTAGTTTTCTTTATATTTTTATTAGCATTTCTTTTTCTATCTCGTTACCGACCGCATTGTGTATACAATAGGTAGGTTATGTGATGGCAAAAAATTTTGCATATCGAGTTTTCGGTGGGAACACACTTCTCCATGATACGGCAGTGTAAATAAACTATTTTTAGCAACCTGTCGATCTGTGTGAAGTGCCATATGTAAAAATAAATGTGTATAATGAGACGTGTGTATCTCAAGGCCGGCTGAACAGATTTTCATGAATTTTTGTATGTGAGTTTATTTCGACGATGGCACGGATTAATCAACTTTTGGGATATATCAGGCTTCGGGAACTGCACTTTAAATTCTTTTCAATTCTTGGCATTAAAACAATGAACATATAAATTTGTTGGAAAGATCAGAGCTCGGAAACTGATCTGAGGGCCGATTTTACATTTTTTACCATATCTACGGAACGAATTGATGGAATTTCTTGAAAAATGATATTTCAGTTCTGGTTGTTACCGAAATCAACTGGTGAGCATTTCAGGGAATTTAGGTAACACAAAGCGAAACTCTACTAAGATCCAAATTTACATTTTTCTAGCTATGTTAACTATAAGCTTACTAATCCTCTGACAACCTGACAATACACATTGGGATCGGATATGTGCTGATTACATCAACATTTCTTCACAATTCACAAAAAACATGCAAATAAATGATAATATACAAATCTTTATTCAAAGCCCCTTACAATTTTTTGTTACTTCATTTATAATGCTCGCGACAATTTTTCGTATCTATGTTAATTTTAAAACTTGAAATAACTTTCACATTTTTACTGTTTAATCGTACGCTATACAGTTCTGTAATTAAAGCATGTTCATTCAACACATATCTTCATAATACCCGTTCGATGCCAATTTTCCTGATAAACTCATTTTAAACATAAAAAACATTTATGTTCCAATAAAATTTTACTTTTCTATTATTATATCTGCAATCTTTATTTCTCTCGAATTTTAAAACACATATGTTATTTAATTTCAATCATACATATAACAAAGAATCAACTGCCATTTTTATTTCTCTTCTAATAACTTGACTTTGATATTTTTTAAATACAATTTTAAATGAATAATTCTTTTGATATGTTCTCAACATAGAATTTTTCAACATTCATAAGTTGGCAGGTTTCTTAATTTTAAAATTTCTTCTTAAATTCTCATTTTATACATACATATGTACATATGTGTCTACGTAATACATATTTAAATATAATCTTCATCTAATGCATTTACATTATTATTCATATTCTCTATAGAACTCTTACATTTACATAATAGTACGAGTATATTGTAGTTTAGACAGATAAATCATATAAAAAGAGAAAATATATTTTTAATTATTTGAGCAAATATTTTATCAAAAGCACACTTTCTTTTATCCTGTCTCTTGAATTTATTTTTACATATGGCACTTCATTTGAATACATAATATATTTACATAGAAATTTTAATTATATAAAAATATTCACGTAATATGAAATACATAAATAAGTTTTTAATAAAATAATTTCACAATTGAAATGATTTGTTTTGGAATTTGTGCATGAAAAGCATGAAATTTTATTTTATTTTGCAAAATTTCAATAGAAATGAAAAAAAGAAATGGATTGAATCCCAAAAGTAAAATGTAAAAATTTATTATTTAATATTTCAGAATGAAGATCCTAATTCTTCATGTCAATTAAATGAAATTGATGACATCGAGGTTTGTTGTTAGACTCAAAATAATAAAATATAAAATTTTAAGAAAATATTTTTTATTTTTTTCTTTTGTTTTAAATTTGTACAAAATTGGCTATTGAATTTGCAGATTATATAAAATATAAAACTATGATTATATTGTAGGATTTATTAAAAAGTTTTTAGTTTGATTTGAAGTTAGTATGCCACATAATACTAGCATCATACTTACAGATATGCTGTAACTATATAATTAATAATTAAAAAAATTTTTGTTCGCTAAATTATAATTTGTGGTATGCTAATTTTACATGCGTCGAAACTTGTTTTTTTTTTCGAAAATAGTTAAAAAAAAATTTGAATTACATTTTAAAAATTTTATGCATTGTGTAATAACTTTAATAAATAAATATTGAAATCTATAAAATTTTTGAATGATTGTGAATGAGGTTGTTAAAATTATAATTGTGAACAAAAATGAGGAATAGAGTAAGTAATAACTTTGGTAAAATTTTAATTTCTTGATAAAATATTTTTAACCTTAATAATTAATATACAAATATTTTTGCATCGAATATTATATAACAGTATAATTAATAGAAATAATTGTCCTTACAACACATTGTTCCAAAATGTTATTTTGAAATTTTGGAAACTATAAGTTATAAATTTCATTCTTTACAAAAAATTATCGCCAAATTTCAAGTGTAAAATTATAAAAAATTTTCAATTTTTTGACCAGGTAGGGGGTCGTGCAAAATTTTAAAAAATTTTCGATTTTTTGACAAGGTAGGGGGTCGTGCAAAATTTTAAAAAATTTCAATTTTTTGACAAGGTAGGGGGTCGTGCAAAATTTTAAAAATTTTCAATTTTTTGACAAGGTAGGGGGTCGTGCAAAATTTTAAAAAATTTCAATTTTTTGACAAGGTAGGGGGTCGTGCAAAATTTTAAAAATTTTCAATTTTTTGACAAGGTAGGGGGTCGTGCAAAATTTTAAAAATTTTCAATTTTTTGACAAGGTAGGGGGTCGTGCAAAATTTTAAAAAATTTTCGATTTTTTGACAAGGTAGGGGGTCGTGCAAAATTTTAAAAAATTTCAATTTTTTGACAAGGTAGGGGGTCGTGCAAAATTTTAAAAATTTTCAATTTTTTGACAAGATAGGGGGTCGTGCAAAATTTAAAAAATTTTCAATTTTTTGACAAGGTAGGGGGTCGTGCAAAATTTTAAAAAATTTCAATTTTTTGACAAGGTAGGGGGTCGTGCAAAATTTTAAAAATTTTCAATTTTTTGACAAGATAGGGGGTCGTGCAAAATTTAAAAAATTTTCAATTTTTTGACAAGGTAGGGGGTCATGCAAAATTTTAAAAAATTTTCAATTTTTTGACAAGGTAGGGGGTCGTGCAAAATTTTAAAAATTTTCAATTTTTTGACAAGGTAGGGGGTCGTGCAAAATTTTAAAATATTTTCGATTTTTTGACAAGGTAGGGGGTCGTGCAAAATTTTAAAAATTTTCAATTTTTTGACAAGGTAGGGGGTCGTGCAAAATTTTAAAATATTTTCGATTTTTTGACAAGGTAGGGGGTCGTGCAAAATTTTAAAAATTTTCAATTTTTTGACAAGGTAGGGGGTCGTGCAAAATTTTAAAAAATTTTCAATTTTTTGACAAGGTAGGGGGTCGTGCAAAATTTTAAAAATTTTCAATTTTTTGACAAGGTAGGGGGTCATGCAAAATTTTAAAAAATTTTCAATTTTTTGACAAGGTAGGGGGTCGTGCAAAATTTTAAAAATTTTCAATTTTTTGACAAGGTAGGGGGTCGTGCAAAATTTTAAAAAATTTTCGATTTTTTGACAAGGTAGGGGGTCGTGCAAAATTTTAAAAATTTTCAATTTTTTGACAAGGTAGGGGGTCGTGCAAATTTTTAAAAATTTTCGATTTTTTGACAAGGTAGGGGGTCGTGCAAAATTTTAACAAATTTTCAATTTTTTGCCCAGGTAGGGGGTCGTGCAAAATTTTAACAAATTTTCAATTTTTTGACAAGGTAGGGGGTCGTGCAAAATTTTAAAAAATTTCAATTTTTTGACAAGGTAGGGGGTCGTGCAAAATTTTAAAAATTTTCAATTTTTTGACAAGATAGGGGGTCGTGCAAAATTTTAAAAATTTTCAATTTTTTGACAAGGTAGGGGGTCGTGCAAAATTTTAAAATATTTTCGATTTTTTGACAAGGTAGGGGGTCGTGCAAAATTTTAAAAATTTTCAATTTTTTGACAAGGTAGGGGGTCGTGCAAAATTTTAACAAATTTTCAATTTTTTGACAAGGTAGGGGGTCGTGCAAAATTTTAAAAAATTTCAATTTTTTGACAAGGTAGGGGGTCGTGCAAAATTTTAAAAATTTTCAATTTTTTGACAAGGTAGGGGGTCGTGCAAAATTTTAAAAAATTTTCGATTTTTTGACAAGGTAGGGGGTCGTGCAAAATTTTAAAAATTTTCAATTTTTTGACAAGGTAGGGGGTCGTGCAAAATTTTAAAAAATTTTCGATTTTTTGACAAGGTAGGGGGTCGTGCAAAATTTTAACAAATTTTCAATTTTTTGCCCAGGTAGGGGGTCGTGCAAAATTTTAACAAATTTTCAATTTTTTGACAAGGTAGGGGGTCGTGCAAAATTTTAAAAAATTTCAATTTTTTGACAAGGTAGGGGGTCGTGCAAAATTTTAAAAATTTTCAATTTTTTGACAAGATAGGGGGTCGTGCAAAATTTTAAAAATTTTCAATTTTTTGACAAGGTAGGGGGTCGTGCAAAATTTTAAAATATTTTCGATTTTTTGACAAGGTAGGGGGTCGTGCAAAATTTTAAAAATTTTCAATTTTTTGACAAGGTAGGGGGTCGTGCAAAATTTTAAAAAATTTTCGATTTTTTGACAAGGTAGGGGGTCGTGCAAAATTTTAAAAAATTTCAATTTTTTGACAAGGTAGGGGGTCGTGCAAAATTTTAAAAATTTTCAATTTTTTGACAAGGTAGGGGGTCGTGCAAAATTTTAAAAATTTTCAATTTTTTGACAAGGTAGGGGGTCGTGCAAAATTTTAAAAAATTTTCAATTTTTTGACAAGGTAGGGGGTCGTGCAAAATTTTAAAAATTTTCAATTTTTTGACAAGGTAGGGGGTCGTGCAAAATTTTAAAAATTTTCAATTTTTTGACAAGGTAGGGGGTCGTGCAAAATTTTAAAAAATTTTCGATTTTTTGACAAGGTAGGGGGTCGTGCAAATTTTTAAAAATTTTCGATTTTTTGACAAGGTAGGGGGTCGTGCAAAATTTTAACAAATTTTCAATTTTTTGCCCAGGTAGGGGGTCGTGCAAAATTTTAACAAATTTTCAATTTTTTGACAAGGTAGGGGGTCGTGCAAAATTTTAAAAATTTTCAATTTTTTGCCCAGGTAGGGGGTCGTGCAAAATTTTAACAAATTTTCAATTTTTTGCCCAGGTAGGGGGTCGTGCAAAATTTTAACAAATTTTCAATTTTTTGACAAGGTAGGGGGTCGTGCAAAATTTTAAAAATTTTCAATTTTTTGACAAGGTAGGGGGTCGTGCAAAATTTTAAAAATTTTCAATTTTTTGACAAGGTAGGGGGTCGTGCAAAATTTTAAAAATTTTCAATTTTTTGACAAGGTAGGGGGTCGTGCAAAATTTTAAAAAATTTTCGATTTTTTGACAAGGTAGGGGGTCGTGCAAAATTTTAAAAATTTTCAATTTTTTGACAAGGTAGGGGGTCGTGCAAAATTTTAAAAAATTTTCGATTTTTTGACAAGGTAGGGGGTCGTGCAAATTTTTAAAAATTTTCGATTTTTTGACAAGGTAGGGGGTCGTGAAAAATTTTAAAAAATTTTCGATTTTTTGCCCAGGTAGGGGGTCGTGCAAAATTTTAACAAATTTTCGATTTTTTGACAAGGTAGGGGGTCGTGCAAAATTTTAAAAATTTTCAATTTTTTGACAAGGTAGGGGGTCGTGCAAAATTTTAAAAATTTTCAATTTTTTGACAAGGTAGGGGGTCGTGCAAAATTTTAAAAAATTTTCGATTTTTTGCCCAGGTAGGGGGTCGTGCAAAATTTTAAAAATTTTCAATTTTTTGACAAGGTAGGGGGTCGTGCAAAATTTTAAAAATTTTCAATTTTTTGACAAGGTAGGGGGTCGTGCAAAATTTTAAAAATTTTCAATTTTTTGACAAGGTAGGGGGTCGTGCAAAATTTCAAAAATTTTCAATTTTTTGACAAGGTAGGGGGTCGTGCAAAATTTTAAAAATTTTCAATTTTTTGACAAGGTAGAGGCGTGTAAAATTTTAACAAATTTTCAATTGTTTGACAAGGTAGGGGGTCGTGCAAAATTTTAAAAAATTTCAATTTTTTGACAAGGTAGGGGGTCGTGCAAAATTTTAAAAAATTTTCGATTTTTTGCCCAGGTAGTGGGTCGTGCAAAATTTTAAAAAATTTTCAATTTTTTGACAAGGTAGGGGGTCGTGCAAAATTTTAAAAATTTTCAATTTTTTGACAAGGTAGGGGGTCGTGCAAAATTTTAAAAATTTTCAATTTTTTGACAAGGTAGGGGGTCGTGCAAAATTTTAAAAAATTTTCGATTTTTTGACAAGGTAGGGGGTCGTGCAAAATTTTAAAAATTTTCAATTTTTCGAGAAGGTAGGAGGTCATGCAAAATTTTAAAAAATTTTCGATTTTTTGCCCAGGTTGGGGGTCGTGCAAAATTTTAAAAAATTTTCAATTTTTTGACAAGGTAGGGGGTCGTGCAAAATTTTAAAAATTTTCAATTTTTTGACAAGGTAGGGGGTCGTGCAAAATTTTAAAAATTTTCAATTTTTTGACAAGGTAGGGGGTCGTGCAAAATTTTAAAAAATTTTCGATTTTTTGACAAGGTAGGGGGTCGTGCAAAATTTTAAAAAATTTTCAATTTTTTGACAAGGTAGGGGGTCGTGCAAAATTTTAAAAATTTTCAATTTTTTGACAAGGTAGGGGGTCGTGCAA